CAGACGTTAACATTGATGGTGAAATTTTGAGACTACTTGAAGAAGGTCCAACAACAAGCACCAGAAAAATTTCCCGACAGCTGGGTGTTTCACAATGGAAGGTCTGGTCAGTGATTCATCAAAATGGTCTTCACCCATTTCATCACACTCCTGTGCAAGGACTAGACGAGGGTGATCCGGCGCGCAGAGTTCAATTCTGCAGATTTATTCTCCATGCGGATATTGAGGATGCTTCATTTTTAACAAGAATTTTATGGACCGATGAATCAAAATTTAGCAGAGAAGGAATAACAAATTTTCATAATTTGCACTACTGGGCCGAAGATAATCCGCATCAGAAGAAGCAAGTTAGTTTCCAAAGAAAATTTAGTGTCAATGTATGGATGGGAGTTATCGCCAATAATTTAATTGGACCTCATTTTTTACCGGATAACCTTAACGGTGAAAATTATGAAGAATTTTTACGTAACAACTTGTATGAGCTACTAGAAAATGTCCCTCTAGCGAACAGGCAAGAGATGATCTTCCAGCATGACGGATGTCCTGCACATTATCGTCTTACAATACGGGAACTCTTAGAGCAAAGGTTTCCGAATAGATGGATTGGAAGGGGTGGACCCATTCCATGGCCTGCTAGGAGCCCTGATTTAACTCCATTAGATTTTTATGTATGGGGGCACCTGAAAGAAATCGTATATGCCACGGAGGTAAATACGCGCGAAGAACTGATTGAAAGGATACAGAATGGGGTTGCGATATTGCGACAGAACTTTTCAAATCGAGTAACCAGGACAGAAGTAAGAAGACGGGCTCGTGATTGCATAAGGAATGGGGGTAGTCATTTTGAAAATTAATTACATCACTTGTTGGAAAAGTTTTTTCATTTAATTTTGAGAATGTTGTTTTTTTTTTTATTAGGAGAATGTTGTTTTTTTTTTATTATAAGGTAGGAAATACATTTTTTCAAATGGTAAATATTGTTTTTTTTTCAAAGATAAAAGTCACACTTACATTATGTTGGCGATACAATGTAAAATTGTCAATGCTTTCAAATTTTTTATCTAGAAAGAGCTTGTGTTGCCAACATTGGTAGTGAATTTTTGACTTGGGAATTATCTTCAAAAAAGAAACAGACTTTATTTGGAAGAGAGTGCATTCAAGAATGCTTGGCAATAAAGTGCCAGTAATTTATTATGCAAATTTCAAAATTTTCAAGCAGAAAATAGTAATTACTTCTTCTTTACTAATAACTATTACTATTAGCTAGTAAAAAAATTGATAAAATTTTTATTGCAACACTTGATATCCAAAACAGGTATAAATTAGAATTCTGTTGAAAATTATATCGTCTCTCCTTAAAATAAAAATAATTTATTTAACAATAAAGCAAAAAGCTAATTCTGAAATAATGTACCTTATCTTGGAGACAATAAAATGGAGTACTTTTGCCAATTATTTGTACGTTTGAAGTACTATGAAATTTTCGATATTTTTAGGGTTAAATAAGTCATTAGTTAGAAACTTAACAAGAAAAGTTAAGTTTAAACCGCAATAACTCAATAGTTAACATTAGTGTTTCGATAATTTTCAATGCTGATATTTTTGTCAGTGTGTCAGCTTAAAATTTAAAACACGACTTTCAGAAAGGTCCTTGTTATTTTCGTTAATTTTAAATATTTGCCTCATAAGGTAGTGAATTTTATAAAAATTAGAAAAATGAAAATATCGCGAAAACCGTTAAGAATGGTATAGAGGTAAATAGTGTTTAATCGGTAGCAAATAGGCTCTAATGTCATCTCCTCAAAGGAATACGTCCACTTACCAGTCACCCTGTATATTAATTTAATTCATAACCAAAAAATGACATATTTTTGGTATTTTTCGACAAGATTTTAACCTACAAAGTTTCAGATGCCATTTTACTTTGGCATGTTTCCACCCATTTTTAACCTAAAATAAAGACGATTTCACCTCAGTTTGGTAACCCAGATTGGTGTGTCAAATAGGTACCTATCAATTTCCGATTGGAGAATGATGCTGTCACGGCAACTTTGGTAGGCGTTTTGGTCTGTCAAATGCTATACCGCGATCTGACTAGGTGGTGGAGGTTTGGAAGCTTTCTGTCTCTGTCTGTATCATGCCTAAATAAACATGTCAAAGTCAAAATGTACCAAACGCCCTACCCACTGAATTCGGATGAGATTGTTGAGCTACAATGTCAGTCACATACCAATTGATTAACCATTCGCCTACCAAACAGCAGATGAAAATCTGGGGCGGAATCGCCTATTAATTAGCCTATCCAAAACACGTGACATTGACAAGCAAAATATGGCCAGAAAGGGTTTATGCAATGAACTATAACCAAAAACTGGAATGCGAACACATATTGAGGATCGTGAAGCCTAGTGCCGCTGCTGCGGAGGGGATACCTGTTTTTGTCGCGCTCATTATGTTAAATGGCGGAAATTGCTGCCAACACTTATTCCAATTGATGAAACTTGTGAAGGTAAATATGAGAAAACTATCCAAAACCTCATATGTCAGTGAGCAACAGAAAAAAACAACATTCCCCTTTGGGGCATCTGTCTTTCATGGCTACATTTTCCTTTTAATTTAAGTTTGACAGCATCTAAGATAGTCTAATAGACAATTTTTCGCGAGGATAATCAAGCACAATCTTTTGCTGGATTATGTGATGTGTCGATTGCGTCATACTCCCCTAACTCCCCCACACTGGGATACTCGAGGATCAAGAACACTCGATTTCTTCTGTCAGAACAGACCGAAAATCACCTTTTCTACATTTAAAATCGACGAAAAAATTAACTCACTAGCACAGCCTAAATTGCAAGCATTTCATCGAGGTCTGCGGGTGACGTCATCACTATAAGAGGGAGTTAGGGGAGTATGACATAAAGTAACCAAGAATAAATTAGGCTTGATTATCCTCTCGAAAATTTGCCTATTAGACTATCCAAGATGCTGTCAAACTTAAATTAAATTAAAATGTCCGCCAAAAGGTACACCAAAGCCTTTGTTTATGTGTTATCAAATAGCACTATTTGATAACACATAAACAAATTGTGAATTATTTGCGTTGTTATACCTAAAACTGTTGTTTTTATTATTGTTAGATGTAGTGTATGATACTGAACCGAACAACCCGACTCTTTCCGTACAAGAATGAAGCGAACTGTAGTGTATTTAAATAGTGTATGTAAATAGTAGTTTGTGTTCCTTCTGCCGGCCATATTTTACTTGTCAAAGTCACATGTTTTGGATAGGTTAATTATCTGACGGCTATTTGCACGACTATCACAGTGGATTAAATATCCCTTAAGTTGTAGCCTCGGTTGTAGTGGTGCAAGTAGCCGTGAACTCAACAAATTTTGAAATGTTTATTTACTGTCAAAATTTTGTATGTTACACTGGGAGCTCAAATTGGGGTTGATAATTTCTGTACTAATTTTTTTTTATTACAATAGTACCCTTGATAGTACCTATTTATGAAAATCCAGAAAATTCAATATTAGTTAAAATATAGGAAATAAGTAAACTAATTCGAAATGGCAACTTTGTTGTGAAATGCTCTAATTATTACTAATAAACAAAATGAATAAGAGCAACATTGATGGACTATACTGAATACTGGCATCTCTTTCAGTGGGTCTTCAATTGTCAAGAATCCCACAGAGTATCACAATTTTAAACCAAAATATTTCCATATCTTATTTTTCTAGGAATTAGGTTAGGAAGCCAGCATAATATCTTAAGTTACTCTTTTTTTGCCATTAATATGATGCTGCTTTTCTACAATGTTGAAATGTTGAAATATTTTTTAAAAATCGAGAAAAAAATCTTACCTGTTCCTACGAATTATTACACTATGTGAAATTGTAGAAATGAATAATTAATAATTATTTTGCTGTACCTACCTAAATAAAAATATGGCTGGCTCATACAATAATAGGATGACTAACATGATGAACAATAAATTGGAATAGTGCTGTGTAAAATTAAATTAATAAAATAATACCATATGGCTTTACTGAAACGAATGTGTTGAATAATTATTGGATCGTTGCACAGCATTATTAGCATTAATCTCGTCACTAATCTACAAAAGTAAAATTGTAAAAAATGCTATTAGTTTGGCCATAAATTGATTAATTTAGAACATGATGACAAAATGAGGCTATTCATTTTGACAGCGTGTATTCCTGAAATAGGAAAAAAAAGGATACTGTGAAGATGAGTATCGTTGAGTTTGAGGCCCTCCAGCGGCCGGTTGTTTCTGATTACCACTCATTTCAGCCTTGGGATTCTGAGTTCTGGGTCCCTTAGTAATGGGGCCACAGCTTAAAATTTCGTATATGCATATGGTTCAGAATGATTGGCACACTGTAGCACTTTCGCACGACTCCCCGTAAAGTCCATATAACATTTTTTGTAGTTCGCAAACTGTAAACGATTTTGTCAAACAATAATTACTTATTTGGAAGGCTTCTTAATCTTCTTATCTAACAACTTTCTTTATCAAAGGTTAAGATAATTCCAATATGGCGGAATTTATTATATTGTGTGGTTGCAAAACATGTTCAAATTTTTTAATTAACTCCAAGTTCCCGGGCGCGCATGGCTCGGCGGAAATTTAATGGAAATCGCAATTAGTTATTTCGTTTACTTTTTGATAATTGTCAGTTTCAAAATTGGCGAAACTTTGTGAAAAATTTACGTTTTTAAAAAAACTTAAGGTGACACGCGGGCTTTCACGTCACGTTTTTGACTTGACAAACGCCGCCACGCTCTCTTGCGGTTAGTCGACAAACCCTATTTTTTGCAACGTTCAAAAAAGGCGTTCAATTCTATTTCTATCTCTTTCCAAATCACACGGGTCACCAAGGAATTTTTCCCCTCTCTGGGGTAACATCGATTTCGAAACGAATGAGCCACAAGTTTCGAAATGTCAAACGTGGCAAACATACAAAAATAAACAACATAACCCTAAAATGTATTGTAAACATTAAAAATTTTGAAATTTATTTATTATTTATTACAAGAATGACTTCCTATGGGAAAATGGAAACAGAAAAATTAAAACAAAATGTGGAAAGTCAACTAGATCGTTTGATGGAACAATTAGCCGATTTAGAATCCTGCAAGTAGGTACAAAATGCGAATAGTTTTTACTATTATCCCTAACAACAGTTGAGACCGAAGAGACTGTTGCTGTTGTAATCTTATGTCTTTCGTATTTATTACCACAGTTGTTTGAATTCAGTTTTCATTAGATTTCCACGCACGACAGGGGTCCTAATCTCGAAACAGGGGAGACGCATTCTCATGAGACTGAAGGTTCTGTCTTCGTCGCTCATATTCATATTTCCACAAAAGTGGCGACACGAAAAATCCATCTAACTACCGCCCTATCTCACTACTGTCTACAATCTCTAAAGTAGTAGAAAAATTACTTAAAAAGCAAATGTTAAGTTTTTTAACATTGCATAATGTTTTCAATTCCGCCCAGTTTTAATTTCTCCCGAAAAAGGGCACGCATGATGCAATGTTCCGTGTGATCAAAACACTTTTTAGAAACTACAACAATGGATATGCTACTGCAGGAGTGTTCTGTGACTTCTCAAAGGCTTTTGACCAAGCTTTTGACTGTCTTTTCCATCGCAGCCAGCATGTCTCCGCCGATGGCAAACTCAGAGGATGAACAGAACATCACTTTCGGAGTCCCGCAAGGCTCAGTTCTTGGACTGATCCTATTTCTTCTATATATCAATTGCGACCCTAACGAGCTGATCAGAATTATATCACACGATCTAAACAGTATTCAAATGTGGTGCGATGCAAATGGACTACTTTTCAACTTCAACAAAACCCAAATACTTGCATTTCGATGTAACATCGATCGCATGGTATGGGATGAATTTTCCATTAAAAGCTCAAAAAATACAAAGATTCTTGGATTCAACTTGGATGTCAATTATTATTGACTTGTGTAAGCACACTGTGTAAAAACACCAATAAAGAATTTGAATTTGAATTTGAATGTTGATCTTAAATTCCAATTCCATATAGCTCTCAACAAAAAACTATTTTCAGGCTGCTACTGCATACGATCAGTTTCATATACCTTGAGGTCCACCATAACAAAATTAGTATATTTTGCTGCAACATACAGTCACACCTAACTTATGGCCTGCCATTTTGGGGATGTTGCAGCTAGTAGTATCTTTTTGAATCAGTGTTTAAACTACAAAAACGGACAATCCGATTTATTGCTTGCATTTCACCACGGGAACACTTAAGGACATCTTTGTTAAGTATAAAATTCTCACTCTTCCATGTCTTTTTATTCTTGAGTCAATCCCTCATTCATAAGAAATGTCTTATTTTCCTGCACGCCAAACTGCCAATCTGATGAGGCATAGTCATCATCTACCACTTCCTATTCCACTTTCCTCTCATGCAGAACTCTTATCATTTACAATAGTGTGAAACTTTATAATCACCTTCCAGCAACTTTAAAAGATATATCAGATATCATTTTATTTCGAAAACAGTTAAAAATTATCCCACTTGCCCAAGTTTTCTATAAGGTTAATGAATTTCTGGACTCGGTATTTTTAACCTAATCAATTTAACTAGCTTTTGCAGACTAGAATCATCGTGGGCATGACACTCTGTTTATTTTATTTTATTTTCAGAGTACTGTTTTACTGTTTATTTAAAGTTTGTGTTATTTCTTATCGTTTCTGTCAATTTTTAACCCCCTATACTTAGTTATAATAATAATAATAATAATAATAACGTTTATTATGCCTGAAAGGAAATTACCTAAAAGGTAACATTCACGTAATGTGTTCTTCTATGCTACCTGAAAAAATAAATAAATAGAGAATTCAATGCCTATTCTAAGCTACGCTATTAATTCCAGCAGAGAAGCCTTGCACTTCTTTTCAAAGTTTACCAGTGAATCTGAAATCATAAATTCATACACCTCTGTATTTAGTAGTTGTACCGCTCGATAGGAAAATGAGTTTTTAAAACCTTCGGTTATCAGAATCAGAATCAGAAAAAGCTGTATTATCAAAGATAGAAATCTTATTGACAAAGCAGTCTTATATCTACATAATCAAATAAAATAAAATTAAAAGTTAAATATAAATACACAAAAATACAACTATAAACAAAATACTTAAGATAAGATAAAATAAAATAAAATAAAATAAAATAAAATAAAATAAAATAAAATAAAATAAAATAAAATAAAATAAAATAAAATAAAATAAAATAAAATAAAATAAAATAAAATAAAATAAAATAAAATAAAATAAAATAAAATAAAATAAAATAAAATAAAATAAAATAAAATAAAATAAAATAAAATAAAATAAAATAAAATAAAATAAAATAAAATAAAATAAAATAAAATAAAATAAAATAAAATAAAATAAAATAAAATAAAATAAAATAAAATAAAATAAAATAAAATAAAATAAAATAAAATAAAATAAAATAAAATAAAATAAAATAAAATAAAATAAAATAAAACATCAACATCATTACATATAAACTAACAATCGACATTCAACTAGCTGCGTAAAACTCTTCTAAAGTGTAATAACAATTCTCCAAAAGATAGTCTTTCACGTTTTTCCGGAAGGCATTAAAATTATCAAGTTCTCTCAATTGTAAAGGTAGATTATTGAATATTTTATGGCTTTCATATATTAAGGATTTTTTTTATCAATGTTGAAGAAGGTATCGGAAGATGGACAACCTGTGTCTGTCTAGTTCTATAGTTATGCTGGAAATTGTAGTTATCCCTATATCTATTTTTGAATATCAAACAAACTGATTCCAATATATACAGAGATGTTAGGGTAAGCACTCTGTAGTCCCTGAAATAAGGCCTGCAAGAATCATTCCGTCTTAGCTGAAACATTGATCTGGAAGCGGAAGACGGACTGAAACAGGCCATCACCGCACGCACCCCAGAATGCTATCCCATAGCGTAGATGTGACTCTACCAGGGCATAATAAACATCCCTCGCTACCCCCACGCCAAGCTCCCTCCGGACAACCCTAACGGCAAAGCATCCCGATGCAACCTTTTTTTTCAGTTGACTTGTATGTGCTTCAAAGTTCAGTTTTTTATCGATGAAAATTCCCAAAAATTTGGTGTGTTTTTCCTGCTGTAATGGATTATTGGCAAGCATTAACCCTTCCATCGTACATTTGAATCCTATGATTTTACTTTCATCTATGTTAAGAGCAGGCTTGTTTGCATCAAACCAGCGCTTTATAAGATCAAGTCCAGACAATACTATCCCCCTAAGATTCCCAACATTATGACAGTGCCACAGACAGGTGACATCCTCAGCAAAAACAGACATCTCTGCATTTACATATATGCCATATTATTTGAAATCGTACTATGTTTCTCAGACAGCGACTAGCGACTGTGTAGTTCTTGTCTTACTATAAGATATTCTGAGAGATAGGATGGGTAACCAGATTTAAAAATGTTATAAACAAATTGACCAAGGTGCAAGGCTGCTCGCTGTTCATATTTTAATTATCTTATTCTCTACCGAGTTCTCTACATAGGTTGGCGTAATACGGTCAAATTTTCTAATGCTAAAAATAAATCTCGTACAAGCATTTTGAGCTAACTGAATTTTATGTTTAAATTCAACATTCAGGTAGTTATAGAAGACAACATTGCAATAGTCTAACTGTGACCAAATAAGAGTCTCCACTAACATCAATTTGATATTGCGAGGTAAATTATCTTTAAACGGGTACAAACTCTTAAGTACAGGGTGGGCCAATTTAGACACTTTTAATAGGAAACGTCAATTTCTGAGCGAGATACAAAAAAATGAACCCCCCACTCTGAGGCTCAAATTTCATGAAATTTTAATTGGTGCAAACCGCATTTTGATATCTCCAACCGTTTAGCCGCTAGAGGACGATTCTCGATTTTGAGCAATATTGTGAAACCTTCATAACTTTTTTGTTTATTAAAATAATTGATATTTGTAAAAACTTTCTGGAAGCACTGTTTTAAGCAGAATAGGGTACTTGCATGGAAAATTGAATTGATTATTGTTTATTGCAAACTGTAGGAAATCGAAAAAAAATCGTTACTTTTTTTTAATTTCGCCCAAATATGATTATTCCGGAAGTCATACAAATATCAAGTTTTGTATAATAATATAGGTATAGATATACTGAGCATCTGCAACGTCACTAATTTATATGATAATAGACGTCATAGGCATATTTCATAGCGTTGTATCTTGTATCTCCTTCAATTTTTCACTAAGAAGAAAAAGAAAAAACACGTGTTGACTTATTTTTTATGGACTAACGAAATCAGCAATAAAAAAAATTGATGCAAGTACCCTATTCAGTGACGTTTTCAGTTTTTTTCTATTTGGCGCCAATTTGCAGATATTGACCAAAGTCTGATTTTTTTCAATAGGACACCCTTTATATTAATAGCCCATTGAAAAGCTATGGTTTTTCTGATTTTAATGATATAAGTTCGATAGGTTTATCTCGAACAGTTTTTGGGAAAAAAATTATTTTGGTTTTTGTCATAAGAAACAATGTGTTAGAAAGAGACCTTTTTCATTTTCCTTACAGATATAAAGTAATTTTCTAACACATTGCTTCTTATGAGAAAAACCGAAATAATTTTTTTCTCGATAACGGTAAGAGAGAAACCTATCGAACTTTATATTATTAAAATCAGAAAAATCATAGCTTTTTAATGAGCTATTAATATAAAGGGTGTCCTATTGAAAAAAATCAGATATTGGTCAATATCTCAAAATTGACGCCAAATAGAAAAAAATAGAGAACGTCACTGAATTCTGCTTAAAAAAGTGCTTCAAGAAAGTTGTTACAAATATCAATTATTTTCATAAACAAAAGAGTTATGAAGGTTTCACAATATTGCTCATAATCGAGAATCGCCCTCTAGCGGCTAAACGGTTGAAGATATCAAAATGCGGTTTGCACCAATTAAAATTTCATAAAATTTGAGCCTCAGAGTGGGGGGTTCATTTTTTTGTATCTCGCTCAGAAATTGACGTTTCCTTTCAAAAGTGTCCAAATTGGCCCACCCTGTACAGCATAA